TAAAATCCAGGTCACTTGCTGCCTGATTCTCCACTTTCTACCAGATCTCAGGCGTGTTTATCTGACGTCTAGACTTCAACCCCTCATGTATTGGAGATTTTCTTTTTCAAATTTGATGCAAATAATAACAGTATTATCAGTGGAAACATAACCACTTGGTCTCTCTTTGTCTCCATGTCTCATGAAAGCTGTCTTGGGGCCCATCTATTCCCTGAGTTATGAATTATGAATCACTGCTAATAGGCTGCTTCTCCCTTGTTTAACTTAGTGAGGCCCCAGGCTTATCGCTGATGGCTGCTTCTACCTCAGTGCTCATCACCAGTATTATTCCTCCCTTCACTGTGTTATTGTCTCATTATTGCATTACTGAAGCAGGGGCTTCAATAGCTTGGGGAAGACAAGGTAGACTGGGTCTCTGTCCAAGTGACCTTCCCTGAGGACTTAACCCACACCGTCCCACCTTGGTGCTGCATAATGGATGAAGGACAGACATTGGGTGGGAGGGGAGGAAAGGGAGCGGTGGGCCCTTATTACCTTGTGATTAATTTTTAATGAGGTAAACAGGTCTTTCCAGGTCACCTGCAACCTCACACACCCATGGCGGGTGGTGTGTCTTCTCCATCGACTGCCTTATTGCTGCCCTCTTTGACATCTTCCATGGCTGCAGGGGCTCCATAGTATAATTAGGTCTCACTGTCATTGACAGAACGTGTGTCATTTCCCACAGAGTCCCTTCTCTTTCCTTCAAGTTTGATGCCATCAATTATACAGTGGCCAGAAGACCTTTCCCTCACGCTTCCTCTTGCTGCCTTAGTTTTCCAGCAGCGGGTCCATAACTGTGAATATCACTTACACAATCAAGTTAATGTGTATTGCTTCATAATTAATTAGGTTGCACGTACAGGCTCATAAATTTGAGTTTAAACAGGTTGTGTGGTGGGAACCTGTTTTTGAAAACATCCTGTCCACTTGCAGCCTGTGATTCTTTTCAACATTCTGGCTGTAAAATTCAGTGCTGGTGTTCTATCTCATATCGTATTTTTTTTTAAATCTCTGTATATGTTAAATGACAGCAAATAAAACTGAACATTGTTATGCTCTAATGGAAATAAAAAAGACTCCTTCAAGCAGACGTCTGGTTCCAGAGCAGCAGAAATTGGATGACAGGCGAGGATGCACATACGGGGTGTCATCTGGGAAATCAAGCCCGCTCAGTTCACTTGCTCTGAAAGTCAGTGAACAGGTACGCCTTCGCATACGAGAAGGTGGAGAGCTCCCACAGCAATTCTCTGCAAAGCCCGGGGAGGCTGTGAAGGAAGGAGAGAGAGAGAGAGTGTGACAGGAAGGTGAGAAAAGGAACAGATGGAGAGATGCGGGGAATCTACATTTACAGTCATTTAAACAGGTGCTATACATAGTACAGCTTTCAACCCATCATCTCATCTAAATGATATCATTACAGCCAGAAGTCATTAAAAAAAGATCGTTTCCCCTGGACTGTATAGATTTCCTCCCTCTCCCCGGGGAGCGGGGATGAAAATGAATTTAGGGCCCCTCAAGTCATTGAATTTGCTTTTTATCACCCGATAGCCGTGCTACATATGTGCCATTGTGCGGTATATAGGATTAGAGAGGATCTTTTCTGCCTGACTGGCTACCAGCTCTCAGCAACAAGATGAGGATCATTTCCCCTGCTGAGAAAAGCTCCACTCAGCCTAGACGAAACACTCAGCACACACCCCACTGGTGTTCGGTATGGATATTCACTCACATACCACCATTCTTTATCAACATGTGGGGGATTCGAGACTGGAAAACACACACATGTATGTCTCCGAAGGCTGTTTTATATTCCTCTGGCATCAAAACGACTTGCATCATTATTTCAAAGTTTGCTCAACAAATTCCACTGTTACTGAGAAGCTTGTTTATGATGCATTTAGCAAAAGAGAAAACCTTCACAATCTTGAAGACCCTTATTGTTCTCCAGCACCATAACTACCTGCAAAGCCCTGAATGATCAGTCGAAGGGGTCATATTCTGAATTAATAAGTGTCACGCCATCCTCCACACAGGCTCTCATGGTGGATCTTTTGATGCGCATTTCTCTGCCCTTTGAAGCTTGTGTTTTTTTCCTCAGACTGAAGGCTGGATGGGTGCTGTGTGGAGCAGATCCTCCTGAGCTCTTTGTTCCTGTGTTTATTTAACGAGGTTCTGCCTGTTTACGTAAAAATTCTTGACCGCAGAACGGCTGGTAATTGCAACCAGTGTACACTTGGTACCCCGAGCAAATTGTAATCAAGAGATGGTTCCCTGACACAACTGTCTGATCCAGTATGTCAGGTTTCCACTTTGCGGCCCCCGTCTGAGCAGTTGAATGGCTGATTCAATGACTAAGACGGCATTATGCAGTCAATACTTTGACATATATATCATCTCAGTCACATCTACGTTTATTTTTGTCATTCAAACAATGACTATAGGGTCAGTGACAACCAAACAAGTTTGAAAGATCCAGACAGTAAGAAAAACTCAAAGATACAAATCCCCTAATTCTTAAGATCCATATTTGACAGCATTGGTACACATATTTAGCCAGCCTCACCATTCTATGCTCTTGCATATACTAACTGCTTTTCTATAGATTAGTTTTCACTTTGACCAAATCCACTTTAACCAAATCCACACACAAAGGATTCACTTCACGTATTCAATGTTCTGCAGTTCTCGACAGCTAATGCTAGACACATGAATAGTCGTTGTCCATTTTCTCTAAATTGTTATCCAGTTATTGAAACGATTGTGGCACGACTAGTGGAGATGGGCATCAGGGATGACAGTGTTGGACGACAGTAAGTTGGACGTTTGTCAGTTACAGCCTGTCATATCTCTTGGAAAAACTTGTCAGAAAACAACAACTTTTTTTGCTTTCTCTGAGTGAGCAACTTCTGTGACAGTTCTGTGACATGGCGTCTTTTTGGCAACAATTGTAAACATGGTGACGCTAAAGAGGAATGACGTTGCCTCTTGGCACCACGTTCCCAATCACCTGCAGAGTTGCATAAGTCAAACATTGCGACCATCAGAAATATTAAAAGAACACAACCTGATGAATCCTTTTGAGCTGGACAGACACTGTGCAAATTTTGAATTGTTATTGTTAAATTCCAGATGACACAACGAGAAAATCGACTGTGGTGAAAGGTTTATGGTCACAATATACATGCTGACACTGTATGGTGCCATCATCATGCTACTACATAAGTGTTCAAACTGTACATGTCTGTCAGCCCCCTTTACAATGCTAACAAGGGAGAAATGAGTGAGCAAATGTGCCATTCTGTGCCGAAATGTCCAAGAAACAGGCACCCAATATTTCTCTCTGGTATGTTGGTCATGTTAGGATACCAGCCTGGCCTCTATGTGTTGTGTCACCATGTCCTGGTTTCACTTTTGCAATTATGCGCGATGAGAAAAAACAGTGCTGAGTTTGGGGAATCTACTTGTGACGATACTTCAACTATGCCAGAGCTTGGAGTTGGCCAACAGACAAGGTCACATTAACACTTTGGAGCATCTGATCACTGCATGACAAAAACTCCAAAATGAGTCATGTGTCTCAGAAATCGGGTCAAAGTCAGGCACAAATGGAACAGTGTACTTACAGCTGTAGGCTGTGGCAAGTCTCTGCTGTGAACAGTGTGAATGACCCTTTGCTGGTCTAAGTTGTACCTGTTTTATAGAGGTCAACTCAGAGCCTAGTGACCAATACATCATCCATTTCTCATGTTGGGAATGCAAATGATGTTTATTTGGTATGAAATCAGGGTATATTCCCATTCTATGGCCAAGATCCAAGATTAAACTGTTCCATATCAACTTGTTTCAGTGGAACAATACAGTTACTGGATTAACACAGGCAGAGGCTGCAAAAATATTTATCGTCAAGCTAACAACAGCCTGCAAAATCACACCAGTAACTGCAAACCATCTTTCATCAAGCAAGCTACTTATTGGTATATCGTACCATCCATTGGACTTAAGTGCTCTACACAAGAGTGATGTAGATGTAGATTGAATGAATCATAGACTGTATATAAAGATGGACAATATGACAGCTACCCAAAAATAAAGCCTCTATCGCCACCTGGTGGTATACAGCCTCCTCCATATTGATGGATTGGACATGGACCAAACTAAAAAGTGAAAATACACATCACATACATTTTTCTCAAAGATGTTTTCAGTTTAGGTCTCAGTAGTTATTATCACACTGATATTTGTTTGAGTGCTCAGTTGTCTGGCAAGGTTTGGTTTTAATTTTGCAATAAAATCGGGTTGCAATGTCATGATTGACTGCTGAGACCAACTCGTGATTGGTCGAGCATAGACATCGACAGGACCTTTCGTCATCGGCTACTTCCCCAGATTTTGGCTCCAGATGCTCTTATTGACAGCTTGCTTATTGACAGCTATGAATGATTAGCGTGAGCATGTTACTGTTAGTTGGAGTAATTCACCTAGCTCCACTGTAGCCACTATGTTATGAAACATATCAGAATTTGTTCAGATGCAGTAATTTCACTGATTTTGCTGTGACACATGAGACGTTTTATAGAAACCCTAACCACAATAGCATCAACGGACAAGTCAACATTTTAAAACTTTATTTTTGATGTCAGTTTATATTCACCATTTGGGATCTCACTCCCAGATTTCAATTTGTTGGTATGCTATGTTAATGCAGGCCTCTGTCACATCTTGGTCACTAACTACTATCTATCTATCTTGCTCTCCATTGGCTTGGCTTGGCTAGTGCAATTTGCAGCAAATGGTCCAACCCCAACCCCCCACCCCATGTCTTTCTCTCAGTCACTCTCCCTCATTTCAGCCTTGAGGCGTCCTGTTTCTTCAGCTCCTTCGCTTTCAGTCACAATGCTGTGGAGTGGGTGAATGGGTGGGGGGCATTAAAGAGAGCAGTAGGTGGGAGTGGAGTCTGACCGCATAGGGTCTACTGTTTAAGAGAAAGGGAGTTCTCTCTTTCACTCCCTCTCTCTCTCCCTGTCGCTCTCCGTCTCTTTCTCTCTCACTCTCACCCTCTTTCTCTCTCCTCACTGGCTGCACATCAGCCGGCTCTCTAGGTAGACTCGAGTAAACACTCTACGAGAACAGAGAGAAGAGGGAAGATGACAGAGCTGTCAGCACTCTGAGAGATACAGACTGGTGAGAACATTTGCCAGGGCTGCCTGATAAGACTCTGTTACTGCTTAGATTTTCCAATCAGAGGAGAGCATTGTGTGTGAGGTAAGTCACCTTCTTTACCTGTGTGGAAAGAATGTGTTTGAATGGTGAGCTGGGTGAAATGGCTGATTGCCTTACCTAATTAAGATGAATGAGAAAACTGAATTGCAATTCTTGACAAATTTATAACTCCAACCACGTTCTCTCAGCTTTTTTTTTCTCACTTTTGTATAAGTTGATGTTAAAACTTTCTGATTTTCTTTTTTTAGGAATTTTTATGAAATGTGATGTAGGGATGCAGCTAATGATTATTTCCATTTTCAATTTGTCTTTTGTAGATCCACTGTCTGAGGGTAACATCTTTCGAATGATATTTGTTTAAATAATAGAAATATCTGAAAATGAGCCCAATCAAAATGTGACCATTTTGCTTGATAATTAACACGTTATTAATTAGTGAACGGTCAATTGATTGACAGTTTTTTCTGGCTATTGTATTGATTGTTACCATAAAGATGCTATATTCTCGCTCCAGTGAAGAGTATGGGTGTTTAGCAAATAAAGGCAGCTTCTGTAATTCATCCTCATGTTTTACAAGAGAGGACTTCAGAGACTGGCTTAATTTTGCTCTTTACTGCATGCACCTGGGTACCAATTATGTTTTACTGTCAAAGTTTTTCCTCTTGGCGGCTATTTTCCATTTATTACCAGGGCAGTTAAAAAAAGACTAATGTCTTCATAGATGGAGGTCTGTGATGATCTACTGAATTATTCTACTTGCATTAGAGCTGATGCTGAGCTGATGGGTTTGCAGTGGAGAGTTAGTGTGTTAATGTGTGTGTGTGTGTGTGTGTGTGTGTGTGTGTGCACGCTGCTTGTCTGTATAGGTCCAGCTGTACACTTTATGGTTGCCAGCAGACAGTAGGCTTGTGTAACCCGGGAGACAGACAGCTGCTCTGTATTAGATGCCGCTGGTTGGTTTCTTTCCCAGATCTCCAGCATATACATTGCTGTAAACCGGCAGCCTCGCTGGCAAATGTGTGCTTGCGCACACGCACGCTCACCATGTGCTTCCCAGTCTCTTATCTCCAGGTCATCTTCATTTGTTTGTCAGCTATGTCTCATGGGGAGACAGACAGATAAACTGAAAGATAATCAGACAATATGAAGGAGATGATGTTTGATGGATTGGTAAATAAAATGAATTCACTGATACAGGGTTTTGACAGCATATTCTTGATTGCTACCAGTTGCTTACATTTCACTGTCCATCAATTTGTTTCCGATTTAAGCTTAAACTTATTTTAAGAATTAAAGCAAGCCTGAGTGAACAGTGGCCTCTGTGGTCACAAGCATCAATGACAGGATACGTGTCACATATGGTGTAACACAAGTAGTGAAGACTCATAACTGACATGGCTGAGTAAGTCAACTAGTTAGTTATATGACATACACGAGAATGTATTTATCCAACATTAGAACACATCAAACCACATGGAGCTAAAGCTCATACTGATTTTTGCTGTGTATGTTGTCGTAGCTGCTTATTTCAACTTAAAGAGAAACCTGTTGTTATTTCTGCTTTCAAAATGTGTCTTGCTTTGAAGTTTTCAGCCTCCAGTCCTACTCTCAGGGTAAACAGAACTGCATTTAGACTGGGAGTCCAAAGATCTTTGCTGGAAGCTCATAAAATTCTTAAATGTGGGTCAGCAGATCCTAAAGACTGGGTTAATCAGAAATTATGGCAAGTGTCAGGGATTAACACTGTATCGCCCTGAAAGTGATTGATGGAACTTGTGTCCCCATGCTCACTCTGTACATCGCAGCCTGAGAAGGTTGGAAGGAGGTAGAGAGGAAAGTGGGTGTCACAGAGGAGAGGGAGAGGTGGGTGTGCATGGAAACGTGAGGTGGGCTGTGACAGAGGAGACCCGCAGGATACCAGGGCAGCGTGTGCTGGGTGGTATTCGTGTATGTGGAGACGATGCAGACACAATGGAGTAGTCTGGCTGTAGCTTCACATTCACTGCAGACATCTAAAATATCTTTCTTTAATTATTTTTCATTTACAAAGCTTCGTGTTTTACAGATATGTCAAGCATGGGTTTGTGCTCACACGACTGCCTCCTCATAAGCTACCTGACCCTCGGCAGCAGTTCAGGCTTGGTGCATTAACGTTTCATGAAGCTTTGGCTGCGCATATGAGTAGCCACTGATAGTGACACACTGCAAAACGATGAGTGGGAAACGTGCCTTTGTTTGGACAGCTGTTAGCTCCCAAGGCTCTGTGCCCTACAAAGCTCGCTGAGAGGGTGACTGTCTTTAACCCCACTTAGCTCCTCCACTGGTGATTGAAAGCAAACAATAATTGTGCCTATTCATGATGACCCACGCTGGGCAAGACTCAGGGGAGATGCAGAGATGTATCGGTTAATCGAAACTAATGTCAACTTTAATTCAGGCTGATCCAAACTCCCATCGTTGCCTCCTCTTCTTCCTTTTGTCCTTCTTCTTCAACATTGGCACTGGTTTCTGGGGACATGTCATATTGGCTCTAGATGTTGTGGTGTTCACTGTAATTGTTGACACAATGTATGGGTACAGCTTTCAAAAATGTTCAATTGGACTGTGTTTTTTCGATAGACGTGACCACCTGTGGTCCAGATGGTTCTCAGTATGTGAATGTAGTAAAGCCAGTGGCACATACAGCACAGGCAAACTGAAGATCTATTGTTCAGAGAGGTCTGGGGCTAGTAGTTTTAATCAATATTTTTATACAGATATTAATGGCTCTCAGAGGATGACATTGCCATCAGCCTCAGCTGTAGGTTTTCTTTGTGCTAATTCTCAACATTTTAACATATTTAACATGCTATGTACAATGGATGTATTGAGAAATAGTCCAGCCTCACAGATGTGTGAGAATATCTGCTATTCTTTCCAGAGGGGATTTTACCATATTTGGAACATGGATCATTTTACAAGAGAAGATTTAGATTTTTTTCCAGGATGTAGCCTATAAATTCATCACATCCAATTATGGAACACTAATCCTGTTTTGTCTAATTCCAAGATTCTTGACTGAACTTGACGGTCAGCATCACCGAGTAGTATGCTTTCATTTATCCACTAATTTAGAGTTTAAATAAATGATTAAATGACTCATACTTTACACAAGTGGGTGTATTTTCCCCACAAAAGTCACCACAGTCTTTTCCTGTGTCCTAGTCTGCCCCAGTCAGATTAACCATCGCCACAGAACAAAGACCTCCCTCAAACAAATCCAGTCTTTTAAGCATCCCAGATGGTTTTTAATGCTCCTCCGATGCTAATGTGTGACGGGAAATGAGTAGAAGTCTTGGAGCTGTGGGATCCGGGATGCCTTTGTATTTCCCTGCCCTCCATTGGTGCAGCCAATAGATGAACACATGTGGTAGGTACTTCATTTGAATACTTTACCTCCACCAGTAACTTCACACATTGGAATGCATGAGCTATAATGTTCTTGGACCATGATGGGGGGCCCTTTTTGAGAGGTGCAGACAATTTAAATTGGGAAAAATGGTTAAAACTGGGGGAAGCCAATGAAGAGACGACCCTGGGGATTCGGGTCATTAGGCTCATACAAGTGTCTGAATGGAAGGCACTCCCAATTTGGACACGGAACACGCTTCAGGCTTTCATCACAGACAAGGGCAAACAGATGTCTGGGTATCACAGCCAACATGCATGCTTCCATTTCTAGTAGAGAGAAAAAAATCCTTTCCATCCTGTTTGAATGGAAGTAACCAATAAACCTAAAGTGCAAAGTGTGAAAATATGCAGTATTTGAAAGGCCTTGAAAACTCCTGTACATGTTTACTCAGCATCCTCCCTGCAATGTCTTTATTTACTTTTCCAGTCCTTCAACAACTCTAACACGCCACATAGAAAGGCTGGATTTACTATCCTCTAGTTAAAAAAATTATCCTACCTGCTACATAAATATAAAAATCCAGACAGCTCTTGGTCACTAAATATGTTTCTTCAGTCTGTAGGTCAACTGACTCATTCAGGCTGATAAATTTGCACACTCCTCTATGTTAAGTTTGCTGTTTGTGAGATTCACGTACAAAAGCTCACAAGAAGTGACAATCATGCAAAATAAGTCAGCCAACACTCTTTCAGATTGTGAGGAGGCTGTGCTCTCACCTTGCAGCTCATTACCTGAGCGGGAAGGTGTTAGTTACATGGTAAGTTAAGACAAGTCCCATAAGCCGACATCGATACCTCTGTGTAGCATAACGCAGGCAGTGGCCAGGGCCAATCAGATTTTTATAGTAATTGCAGTGCAGTATAAATGCATAGGAGAGGAACTAGGCAGAACAGAGGCCCATGAACTTACGAGTGTCTGGAAAAAACAGCAGGTGGATGCGCAGTAAAGGCTGCCAAGCCTCTACACCACACAGGGGTTAGGCTAATAAACAGTAGGCCACCAGTACCCAGCATGTTAAAAACCTCATGAACAATGACTAGCATCTAACCTCTCCATCTGGACCCAGTGAGAACAGCAGCGCAAGAGGGAGGCACCGCAGGGGAAGCGCCATAAAGAATATTGATGGGTCCTGCGTCGAGGCATGAGACAAGGCACAAAAAACTGAATTGAGATTTGACTGTCTGCTGTGTAATTGACCCAATGAGCACTGTCGTTCACTCAACATTCATCTCCTCCATATCTGAGTGTCAAAGTCGGAAATTGGTTTTGGTTGAAGTAACCGAGTTTTTTGGTGCAGTATCAGTCAGACATGTCAACTCTGGCTCCAAATCACTCTGGCGGTTCTGTGAGCGTGATAGGACTCAGCCTTGGCAGTGCACCCTCTCTGAGTACCCAGATAAAGTGTTTCTGCCAGTATCTCAGATCCAGCCTCCCCATCCGCCTTATCAGCCATGAACACACTTACCCCCACCACTCCCCCGTAATCTGTGTCATCGGATCCAGTGGGGTCACAGCAGAGAGCCAATGTGCGTAGCTTCAGTTTGATGAAACCAGTCTTCTTTTCTAACCTCAAAACCAGTGTATTCCCCAT